GTGACGAAGATTTCCAGATTGGTTTCAGGTTGATGAATGTGTTTCTCGCCTTCTCGATTCTCGATTTGACATCCTCGTCCGTTCCTCCTGTAGGTGAGACAATGCTCCATAGATAAGTGAAAGAAGTAACCTCTTTGAAATCCCTCCCGTTGATGGTGATTGGCGCTGGATGTTGCTGCTGTTGTTGTTGTTGTTGGTTGGTTATTTTCATAACCTCCGTCTTGTCTATGTTCACCTGGAGTCCTGTCTTTGCTGCTTCTTCGACCAGTTTGTCGGTTTTTGCTTGTAAGTCTTCGATTTTGTGTGCCATCAAACATAAATCATCCGCAAAATCCAGGTCTTCTAGGTTCTTCACGTCGGTCCAGGATATCCCTGTCTTCTCGTTTCCCACTGTCTGACGCATAATCCAGTCCACCACAATTAGGAATATCATTGGTGATAATAAGCACCCTTGTCTGACTCCTGTGTTTACTCAAAACGCCTCGCTGAGTTTTCCGTTGTGGATCACTTGACATGTGCCGTTGTCGTACAGCTGTTGAATAAGGTTGATGAATATTTGCGGTACGCCGTAGTACTCGAGTAGTTTCCAAATTACTTCGCGGTCAACGCTGTCGAAGGCCTTCTCAAAGTCTATGAAGTTGAGGTAGAGCATGATTCCTCGCCAGTTCTTGCAGAGTCCCAGGTCGCCCTTCTTTGGTAGTTTCACCAGGTAACCTTTCCTCCAGTCAGTAGGCACCTTTCCCTCTTTCCAGATCTTTTGCAATAATGGAGTCAGCATATCTGCCGTCGTTTCTGGGTCCGCTTTCAGTGCTTCCGGGGGTATTCCATCTGGTCCAGCTGCTTTTCCAGCTTTCAGAAGCTTGATTGCATTCATGACTTCAGTTTTCGTTGGAGGATTGGTGTCAACTTGCAGTTGTGTACGTGCTGTTGTTGGTATTACTGGACGGGTTGCAGGTGGTGGTCGGTTCAAGAGTCCTTTGAAGTGGTCCACCCATTGTTTAATCTGTCTTTCTTCTTTGGTAATTGGGTTCCCTTGGCTGTCTTTTATAGGTTTCACTTGTGTTGATCTCTTCCCAGATAGAGACTTGGTTATCTGATATAGTGTCCTCAGGTCCCTTTTGCCTGCTGCCTTCTCAGCTTCAGTGGCCAGGTTGTCGTAGAATTGTCTTTTGTCCTTCCTGGCACTCTTCTTCACTTCTTTGTCCAGTGCTGTGTAAGTTGAGTTCAGCGTCTCAAACTCTTGTCCATCTTTGCATTGAATCATTTTCTCTTTCACCTTTCTCCTCTCCTCTATTAGTTTCCAAGTGTCTGTTGAGAGCCATTCCTTGTCTTGTTTCTTCTTTCTTCCTAAAACCGTTGAGCACGTTTCGTTGAAAATTACCTTCAGAGAGTTCCAATGGTCTTCCACGGATGATTCCTCAGTGGTGCTACGTAGTGTTTCCTGCTTTGCTCTGACAGTTGCAGTGAAAATGTCCTGTGTGATTGTGTCCTTCAGTTTGTGAGTGTTGAACTTGCATTGTGGCCTATCCCCAGGTATCCTCGAGGCTTCCAACTTCACCTTGAAAGTGCCTTGTACCAGATAGTGGTCTGAACCCACATCTGCTCCTCTTCTCGATCTCGTGTCCAGTAGGCTCCGTCTCCACTTCCTTGAGATTGAAATGAAGTCTATCTGGTTTTTGGTGTGTCCATCTGGTGAAATCCATGTTGCCTTGTGTATATCCCTGTGTTTGAACACACTGCCACCAATCACCAAATCATTGAAGGCGCAGAAGTCTGAGAAGAGTTCACCATTTTCGTTCATTTCACCGAGGGCCTCACGACCCATGGTGAGTTCTCTTCCTGTATTGTCTCCTCCCAGTTTCGCATTCATGTCGCCCATCAGGATTTTGATATCGCTCTTTGGGACGTTGTCCATTACTGTTTGTAGTTGACTGTAGAAATCCTCCTTCTTCTCATGTTCTGAGGCGTTTGTAGGCGCGTAGCACTGAATGATTGTAACCTTTTTTCCTTTTGAGTTGAACCTGGCTGTCATTATCCTGGAGGAGATTGGTTCCCACTGCATGAGAGCTTTAGCCGCTGTTGGTGACATCATGATGGCTACTCCCTCGGTGTGCTCGTGATTGTCCTCTGGGTGACCGGAGTAGATTATTGTCTCTCCAGTTGATAGTTGGCTCCTTCCACATCCGTTCCATCTGCTCTCGCAGATTCCCAACACTTCTATTCTATATCTCCTCATTTCTGCGGCTACCTGAGCAGCCTTCCCAGCTTCGTACATTGTACGAACATTCCACGTCCCCATCCTTATTTTCGCTTTCATCGAAAGAAGGCACATCGGCTGACTGGCTTCCCGAAGGCTTTCACCAGCCCGCGTCATTTCACTTCCCCGATTCCAGCGAGAAATAAGGTCACTATTTGTAATTTTAGAATTTTGAATATATTTGTGCGTTGAAGTTTTAGTAGCAATTTGGTTAAGTTTTGGGGGTGGAGTTGCTAGCACCACGCCCCAACCCTCCCTCTTTATCCGGGCTTGGGACCGGCTAGAATACTAGTGACCTAGTAATCTAGGCGAGGTTTTGAAGACCAAATACCAGTACCTATTTCCAATCACTCCACACTCCACAGAGTCCACGTAAATAAAGATAGAAGAAAGACTAGTCCTAGTCAGTGAGAACAGTTTGTCTTTATTATACAAAAATAAACGTATATATACACACAATACCAGTGTCCGAAAGTTGTGTAAGTTTCAGGTTCTAGGATATCCAATTGCATTATAATATTCTGTCTGGGCCCGACGGTGTGATCTGTCCACACTGGTTTACGCTGGGTTTGGCCTGTCTTACCCGGTTTCAGCCATTTCTATTCACCTGTCTCTCAAAAATGTGTACAACAAATCTGTACCTCTACTTCTCCGATTCAGTTTGTAAACGAACTGTCTAAGACCGTTCGCAAATGTTTGTCTCATAGGTGAAATCCCAATCTCGACCTGTGGCTCCCTCTTCTGGTTTGGTTCTTGACCCACTGGAGGTATATTGGAAGTTTTCAGTGGCAGCTGTAAATGTATCTTGGCTACTGAAGACGTGGCGTGACGATGTTGTAGCTGGTTATTTTGTCTGCTCCATATTTCATGTCCCAATCTAAACTCGTATAGTAAGCTTGAAATCTTATAAAAACCATCATGCATAAGTAGCAAAGTTTCAAAGCCTGTGGATGGAACACATTGATTCAGATGCCATTCTACAGGCGCAGCATGCATAGTGTTTGCTGTTTTCATTCATTTGCTCAAAGCATTTAATAAATTTTCAAAAGAATAGACCATCTGGTGCAAACCGGTCACAAAACCAGCGTAGACGAATCCTTCTCCATAATATACCGGGTGCCCAACAAACTACCAAAATCCTCGAAGCACCGCTTACTCCAAACAGCAGAGGCTATTGCAATTCGCCTCAAACAACCAGCATTCTGTGTCCAAAAGAAACAAGTCCAGCCCCTACTACTGCCCTGGCCCTCAGTAGAGACTATAAACTCATGAATTTGTACCATTACCTTTCCTAATTCTTCTGACATTCAGTTTAATTGATGTTGATGCTGTTCAGCTGTAATTTATCAATATTATTGATTTGATGTTATTTAAACATTAATGTCGTTCATAAGACTAATTCATTCATTCATTATAATGTATATATAATTGTAGAACCTGATGATGAATTTATCGAAAAGAGTTCTCTTTGTTCAGTGTCTATTCTTTTGAAAATTTTAATGGGCATTTTTAATCATTTAATAAATGCATATAAGTGATAAGAAAGACTCCATGTGTTACATTTCATAGGTCTTAACCTACATTACAGTCAGACGGTAACTATTTTCACTGCTATGACTGTGACTTTGACAGAAATCCGTTACTCGAAGTTGAACGTTTAGGTCTTGTTTTCTCACTTGCTCCTAATTTCTAATAGCATGTGCGCCAATAGACTTAAAGGTATGTGAAGGACTACAGAATTTGTCTTGAGGAGCACAGTATTACGATTTTTAAGAAAGCATTGCAATCACTGAACCATTGTTCTGCTCAAAGTAATTAAAGCTACATACAGCATATCAATTAGGCTACTGAAGGCAGTTTTCTGAGAGGAATGTCACCGATGATTTCCATTGAACAGGAATTAATTAGAATGGTCAAAATAATCAGTAGTGAGATATATATATAACAAGTGAAAAGCAGTGCTCAATAATACAAAGGAAAATATTTGACAAGTATATGTAAAATTAGTTTCTGTAAGTGTATAATATGCGTACATGAATAAGTTTTGTAAGCGTTCAGTTAGGCCTGATATAGAGGCGCTAAAACAGGAAGGATTTCTGTAAATTATTGACGCCTTTATTCATTCGAGACGCCAACAGGAAGTTTGAAAATGTGATAGGAGCATTCTTCGGCTTCTCTCTCTCATTTGTGTTTACCTAATATGTTGGATTCGCCAAAGACCAGAAGTAATCTAAACAGTGGAAGTTTCCTGTCAGAACTCTGAAACTTGAGTTTGCAGCGAATTGTCTCAGCGTAATTTCTACTTCAAGGACTGTGATACCTATTCACCAATTGATAAAGTATTGATAGTGGTGGTAAAATACCCAATCATGCACCCCCTTACTTTAACCTAGTTAAGCTGTATTAAGCTGTATTTTGTTCGAAATCCCTGCGAGAGTTGATAGTTGCAGCTCAAACGATTACGACTTGCAAGGAGTTAATTAAGGATTGTAATGCGATGGTTATTTTGAACAGCTTGTTAGCACTCGAAGACTAATTTGAGTACATTGGGGTGTTCGGTGAAGTTAAACGTAACACTCAATGACCTTTAAGAAAATTCTAAACTACAAACGTGTTGTAGGCGTGATAATAATTTCTCTTGATACTCTTCAGCTCACGCCTAAGATTATTAAATATACATCTGATAAGAATGAAGATATTTAAAATGATGTACTATGTGAAACCCAACTCACTGGCTGTTATCAACTACTGTTTCCAATCAATTAGAATGATCATTTCAATTCTACATTTTTCATTGGTTGATAGAAGAATGTTCTGTACATTTCACTTATTCACATTCTATCCACTTGTTTATCAAGTTGAAATAAATTAACCTACCTGCATTCATGATTTCTTTCTTCACTGTACGGTTACGTATTGTATTGTAAGTAATATTTTTGCATATTTCTGAAGTGTTTAATTTTGCATTAATTAACTTCGTATTATTATAACTTATTTAAATTTTGGATTTTTAAAAATCCAAATAAATCTGCTGAAGAAGCTGTGGCTTACACAGCGAAACGTTCAGAAAAATCTTGTTTTGATTTTCTTAACACGCTGGCATTAATCAAAATAATTGATAATTAATCAATCTGACTCGGCGCTCAAATTATTCCAGGAAGTTCGTACCACCTACGGCCTGGAAGCATATAACTTCGTATTATTTGCCATTTCAAATTTTCCCTTGAAAAGAAAACAAATCCTGAATTTGTTAGTAAGGTGAGAATAATCAATGTGTGATAACTGATATTCTGTTGAATGTTCTCTGTATTCTCACCGATGATCATGTTTGGTGTCAGATTATTGCACCCAATAAAACAAATCGTCCATATTTAATCTGAACTGTTTGTTATGCTGTATTATATAATAAACTTAGCAACTATACAGAGTGGATATCACGCTTTAGTTTCAACGGATTGACCTTACACAACCAATGAGATGGTTGATCTTTCACAATAAATTCATATGTAATGACTGGTTTGATATGACGTTAACAATACCTACGAGAAACTAGGGCACACTTTTGCAGCTCATAACAGACTCATATACTTTGTAAGTCATTTTTACTATATAGATGTGTAGTTAAATAAACTTTTCGGTTCAATAAATGTCGGTTTCTCATACGACAATTTCGAATGATTCGTCAGAGTCATTTGGCTGAACCATGAGTGTCGTGTCTGCTTTTTATAGTTGACGTAAACATCCACTCTTGTTTGTTTATTCGTGAACAATATTGTTCAATGGATTTCGTCAGATTTTACAAGCTTTGGTCTGCAGAAATCAGGGATGTGCAACTTTCGGTTTCATCACATGACCACTTTGCCTTTGGACATTCAACTGTTGTTTTATTTATATAAGTATAAAACTTGGGCACTGTGGGAGAGTGAGTATAACTCCGTTGTAAGCAAGATATTCTATTTTGATAAATCACACAGTTAATCATCATCATCATCCTCATCATCATCACCAGTTAATCAGTTAATATTGCTGTACAACACTGTGTGATTTATCAAAATAAAATCTTATCTATAATGGAGTTGTTTTATTTCATATACGCCAACCGGTTACTCTTCTTTCAATCAGAAGCATTTGTTGAAACTATCAGTAAGATTCAAATAGGAAAAAGGATACAGTAGCAGAATATTTTATGTGTGCCTCCCAATTTCAAAGTGACCAAAAGTTTGTTGTATTCAGTTTTGTTATCATAACTAGCTAAATAAGTTGACACCGTCTGTTTAGTAATTTTGTGCTTGAATAATGTCATTAAGGCTTGATGAAACACCATAACAGATATCATCTGTCAAATGGATACAGAATACTAATGTACACAAACATAGTTCTTAAGGATACTGAGGTGTACATCAAAAGATCCTGTCTTAAGTATTAATCATACTCTTATTCAAAGGAAAAACGGCTAAACCAATATGATTGTCATCTCATATAGTCAAGTTAGACTACTACACTTTTAATTTTCTTGTATGCTAACGATTACATTTACTGAAAGATGAACGGCGTTATTCTTTAATAATCCGATCCTCTAAATGCCTAAAATGCTAATAAAGTACAATTTGTAATCGGTTATATCAGTTAAGCAGTACATATATATATAGTTTATCTAGATTTGGTGCAATTACCATGGTGAGTGTGTTAGGCTGTGTATTCCAACCCATCTTTGTATGAGAGGATTATGCGTATTTTGAGGTAGGCAAGTAATTTAATCAACTGAAAAAGTAACCTAGAACACCACTAGCGCAACGTTGATTATGTTAAATAAGTATGATAATTCTGGCTGTTTCTGTTAATGCGCTGAGTGAACAGAGCTGTTTAAGTACTTAAGTCAATAGGGAAAGAAACAATATCACTAATCTTCAGTGTGTTTCATGACCATTTTCGGGGAAGTATTTATTTATCGGATAGGTGAATCTTTGTATTGTGGTGCTGGCAAGAAGTTTCATATTGCCCTGTACTCAACTGTAAAGAAACTGGAACGAGACTTCGTTCGACAAAGAACGTGATTTAGAGAAGACCCGTTGCTACGTAATTCATATGTCGAGGAAGTAAATGAAAGGTTGGTATTAGGGAAGTATACCATTCCTTTGACAACTTTACATAGGAGAATGGGATTAAGTCGTTGACGCCTGAACCAAAGGGGTTCCATCTTAAGAGTTGTTTAACGGTAATTGCAGAGAACTTTTAGACTTTTTCCGAAAATTCTGTTTGTAAATCTCCTTTCGACACTTTCAATCTTCACTATGTCCCTGATAGAAGTGCTATCTAAGATAAATGAACAGTATCAGTGTTTTATACATAAGCATTTTAGAGTCTTGGGTTCGACAGTTATGAAATTTAAATCCAAGTAATCTGCTGGCTTAAGGAAGAGGATTTGAAATCAGCAGAGTAACCGAGCCCGAGGTCAAGTGCAGAAGAAGAAATGGTGATTGGCTTGCCGCAAATTGTTGTGTGGCACGATACAAAGGCAAGTTGAGCATAAGAGACCACAATTTTCCACGTTAATCTGCATTGTCCATCACTCACACCACTTTTGAGTGTTGTCAATATCCGATTACCTTTTATAAAACAGATTATCACTTCTTAGGTGGTATTGAGGTAAACAGACTTTAAGTCATCGGCATGTGAGAAATGTCTGCCATGTTTTTATAGCATCACATACGTCATTTAGATACATAAGGTAAAACAGAGGCCTTAGTACACTACCTTGAGTTACGTCACTTGATACTGGATTGTTACTAGAAAATGTGTCGTTAATCTTAACAGGCTGGGATCGACCACACACAAATGAGTCGCAACATTGTAAGAGATTGCCGGATATGGCGTAAGACTCTCGTTATTTCGGGAGAAAACTATGACATGCCTTATGGAATGCCTTCTTAGGATCAGCTTACATAATAAGTAAAACGCGTTTTTCATATGTAATTCCAGTGATAAAGTCAAATAGTTCCATGTGGCATGTCAGACATGACCTCAACCTCATAAAACCGTACTGAGAGGGTGTTATGAGATTTTCAGTGAATCAGAAGTCAGTGATTTTAGTAGTGATTGTCTTCGCAAATATGCTTGACAAAACAGATGCTATATCATTCAGTTTGTATTTCTTTAAATCATATTCGAAGCATTAAATACACGAGTGAAAATGAGAATTAAAAAGCTCAATGAACTACTACTGACAATCAGACTGTGAAGACATCAAAGCTATTAATTTCAACCGAGACGAAGATCGATGGAGATCACGTTCTCCATATCATCATTATCTGTTACAATGTTTCTAGTTCTGTCAACGACATTTAAAGATACTGAAACTTTCATTCTCACTGGATGATCTGATCGGAAATTGAAATACTTGTTTGAATGTGTCAGTTTCCTGTATATTGTGAACTTTGGTTCCTCGTCAGTTTGTCTTTGCACAAGACAATCCAGGAAGTTTAGAGTTTCCTCGTTCGCTTCTACTTCATTAGTAAAATCTATATAATAATTTGAGATTAAGTTGACCAAGGCTAGAATGTTTTGCTTTTCAGAATTCTTAATAATTAAGAATGTGTCGTCTTTTACATATCTGTACCATATTAGAATGTTTTGCTTTTCAGACTTGGCCCGTGTTCTTTCTAAGTGACAGAGACAATGTTAAGCGCGAAACCTATGACTTGCTTTGTTGTTAATAGTCATAATTTTAGGTTCTTTTATTTTTCTCTCTTATTTTGTATTCTATTGTGAACTCCTTCTTAAACATACCTAGCTACCTAAATTATTTACATTGGCCTACTGTTTTGTACTTTACTGTATTCCTTCTTTTGTGTATCTACTGGTTCATACTATATTAGCACTATGAGTAGTACAAAGTTGTCCTGTTAGTAACCATCATATAATATTAGTCTTGTGGCTGTTTTTTGTTCGGCAATATTAACTGACAATCGTTGGTTGTGAACGCCATTATCACCATCTTAAAATTTTGTATTATGCAGGATTACTCACACTACCACTACAAACACCGCATTAGATCGGACAATAAACAAACAAAACAACAACCCTGAAATGTTATTTTATGATTGTTTAGTGTTGTTTCAACCAAATTAACTGATCTTCTTGGCGAAAAACATTCTTAAATATCATTTCATAACTTCTTATATGACTAAAGCTTTACTGTCACCATGCATAATCATATCATAGCTTCCAAATACCCAATACTGAGATATTATTATATGCTGTTTATTATTAATTATTATTAATTAAGAATGTGTCCTTTACATTTCTGCACCATATTAGAATGTTTTGCTTTTCAGCTTTCTTAATAATTAAGAATGTGTCCTTTACATATCTGTACCATATGAGAAAGCTTTTTTTTCAGATTTCTTAATAATTAAGAATGTGTCCTTTACATATCTGTACCATATGAGAAAGCTTTTTTTCAGATTTCTTAATAATTAAGAATGTGTCCTTTACATATCTGTACCATATTAGAAAGTTTCCTTTTTAACCGTTTTCAGCTTTTATGGCTCTACGAATATGTGCTTTCTAATATGGTATAGATATGTAAAGGACACATTCTTAATTATTAAGAAATCTGAAAAAAAAGCTTTCTCATATGGTACAGATATGTAAAGGACACATTCTTAATTATTAAGAAAGCTGAAAAGCAAAACATTCTAATATGGTGCAGAAATGTAAAGGACACATTCTTAATTAATAATAATTAATAATAAACAGCATATAATAATATCTCAGTATTGGGTATTTGGAAGCTATGATATGATTATGCATGGTGACAGTAAAGCTTTAGTCATATAAGAAGTTATGAAATGATATTTAAGAATGTTTTTCGCCAAGAAGATCAGTTAATTTGGTTGAAACAACACTAAACAATCATAAAAT